AAGTGAACATCGATCAATTTGGTTTACATATCAAACAAAATCAATCGATCAATTATTAGAAAATAATAAATTTATTTATTCAACAAAGTCGACACAAAAATCATGGACAGTACTTTATAATTTAGGTTCCATGGTTTCCTATGAGAAATTTATTGGTCATATTCTTGATAATCGCCGTCCGGCTCGAATCAAAATAAATAAAAATACATGTGGAAGATTGAGAAGCATTGTTTTAGAAATACAATATACTCAATATCGAATGGTATTTGATTTAGACATATTTCATACCGATATTCTTGTTAAATATGGACAAGAAAACAACAAGGAATCAATTCAAATTATATTTATGCTCAAAGGATTACCACAGATTGAACAACGACTGGCTAATGAAGATTTCATCAAGTAAAGCAAATCAATACTAACTCTACAAAAAAGACTGACAAGAAAATCTCGTGCCGCCTAGCGCTCAACATCATTCCATAGTTTCGAACTTTCCCGAAGAACACTGAAGATATGAATTAGTCCTCGCGAAACGTGTTCACAAAGCGAAACACGAAAGAGGTGTGAAACGTGCCCATGCATGAGCATTGACACGAGACAACGGGAGATTGTCTTGCGGATCGCTGCTCTACAATTTACTAATATACTTTTGTATCTTGAATATTGACTTATTTTAATACTAATGTATTTAGAATTTGCAACTTATCGAAGCATAACATAGATCTTAATGTTATTTGTCAATGTTTGGATTTATGGTTACAATTTGATTGTCGTACAGATGCCAAGAATTTTCTTCAACAACTTCTTACTTCCAAAACTACGAAACAATTTATACAAAATTTTGTTGATTTTCAATTCTCTTTGTCATCTAATAACAAAAACTCATGTTTATATTTGGATGATAAAGATTTTTCATCTATATTAGGTTCTTATGACATGAAAATGCTCGGATCACTTGGTTATTTATTTCAAGATAAATATCTTATGGATAATCATATAAAATCAAGATTTATTTCATATCATAAAGAGTCATCAGATAAATTCTATGACTTATGCCATGTTTTATGGGATAACTTACAAAAAGATCATTGTTATTTTATTCAAAACATATTTATTGATCAAAATATATTTCATGGTACGTTATCCGAAAAAAATAAACATCGAGCTTCATCAGCAGGCAACGGAATTTTGTATAAATTGTTTCGTAGTTTTGGAAGTAAGAAGTTGTTGAAGAAAAGCAATTAAAGC